ATCCAATCTAAACTTCCCCTGGCGCAGCTTGAGGCCATTTCCTCTCGTCCTATCGCTTGTTACTAGGGAGAAGAGACCAACCCCCACCTCACTACAACCTCCTTTCAGGTAGCTGTAGAGAGTGAGAAGGTCTCCCCTCAGCCTCCTTTTCTCCAGACTAAACACCCCAGCTCCCTCAACTGCTCCTCATAAGACTTGTGGTCTAGACCCTTCACCAACTTCGTTGCCCTTCTTTGGACACGCTCCAGCACCTCAATGTCCTTCTTGTAGTGAGAGGCCCAAAACTGAACACAGTACTCGAGGTGCGGCCTCACCAGTGCTGAGTACAGGGGCACAATCACCTCCCTGGTCCTGCTGGCCACACTATTCCTGATACAAGCCAGGATGCTATTGGCCTTCTTGGCCACCTGGGAACACTGCTGGCTCATATTCAGCCGGCTGTTGACCAACACCCCCAGGTCCTTTTCTGCCAGGCAGCTCTCCAGCCACTCCTCCCCAAGCCTGGGAGATGGGAATTTGGATGTCAGAGCTGCCAGAACCTGATGAAGAGAATATGACTAGAAAATAAGCCTCCATTGCTGGGTAGGGGGGCAATGGTATCAGGGGAGACATGAAGGATACAAGAGGTATCTCATGTCACCGGAAAGTTCCTTGAAATTTGAGAAAAAATAACCAAAAGCTACTTGAGCATGTGATTGCCAATCCTAGAGCACAGATGGAAGTATATGGGGTGTTCTTACAGCATAAAGAAATCAAAAATGGGAAGTGTTCAGGGAAGGCTTGTCTTGTGGTAATTGCCTGGCATTTATTGAAGGAATTGTCCTGCAGTCCTTTGGCAGCTAGTACTCAACATTCAGCAGAGATTTCTTGGGCTTCCTTGTAAAACCCTTTGTTTCTGAGAGACGCTGGCTTCTTTTTATTCCAGATTTTGAAACAAGACATAGCTCAGAAGTCCTCATCAGGGAAGATGACACATCTTCAATAAAACTGGAAGTAGCTGAGCTACTGAGGAATCTTTCTTGATTTCCTCCTTCCCTCCTTCGCAATGCACATTTCAC